CCAAAAAAAAAAAAAAAAAAAAAAAAAAAAAAAAAAAAAAAAGCATAAAAGAAAAATCTACTTTCAGCTGGCCTCAAAGGATATGTAAATAGATTTTTTAAAATGAAACAATACATTTATTTGATTTGGAGATGAAATAGTACAGATGGTAGGAAACACAAATGGATGCAGTACTATAAAACTGAATATTTATTTTAAATAAGTTTCACAAAAACATGGGTGCTAAAAACATGGTTAGTTTTGAAAATTGATAGTGGTCAGTAAACAAAACACAATGAGAAAGTCAGGTATATCAGTTAACATAGTGGTACATACCTTTAATCCCAGCAGTTGGAAGACAGAGACAGACAGACCTCTGTGAGTTCAAGGCTAGCTTGTTCTACATATTGAGTTCTGGCTACTTATGGGCTAGATAATGAGACCCTGCCTCAAAACAATTATTAGTATACCTATCTCTTCATGTTCTCAAGTCATCTTGAGAAATGAAGGGAAATTTCTAAGGACTTGAGACATAAAACTTGATTTATAGCATGATTTTTCAAATTTTTAATTTCTAACTTTAAAAATATAAACAAAAACCAGGCATGTAGCACAAGCCTTTAATACAAGCACTCAGGAGGCAGAAGCAAGTAGATCTCTAGTTCAAGGCCAGCCTGGTCTACAGATTGAGTTCCAGGACAGCCAGAACTACACAGAGAAACTCTGTGTTGGGAGGATGGTGAGAGGAATATAAATATATATATATATATATATATATATATATATATATAAAAAAAACCTCACCTTGCAGCTTTATAGTCAGGTTGTATTTTTTTTTCCATAGCATCTGAACACTTCTAATAAACAGGAGAACTGAAAACTGTAACAGGAGTTTTTAACTGTAATATCGACTTGCAGGTTGATGACAGTATACAACTAAGGTGTGCAAGAAGTGACCTTTCCTCTGAGCTGAACCTCTCCTGACAGCTGTGTTCTGGCACGCAGTCCAGTGCCCTTTTATAAGTCACATGACATTGGCACATTCACACAAAGACACTTGCCCACGCAATTTACCAAAGACATTAAACAAAAATAGGGAAAAACTTTTTTTCTATATTTTCTTTAAAATTTCTTATTAATGATAGTATCCAGAAAGTGTAATTAAAACAAACAAACAAATAAAACCACAAGGTCTTGGTATATAGCCCGGCTGGACTCAGTCCCAAAGTCCTCTGCCTCATCCTCCTAACTATTTGGTCTTCAGGTGTTCGTCATGGCCAGCTCCAAAGACAACTTCTGAGTTGTCAACGGCTAAGGGTCTTAACAAGCTCAGACTTTATATCACATAGTCTTAGTTGTTTTTTGTTTGTTTTTAGCAGCTTTACTTAAAATGATTTCTTTGTATGCTACAGCTATACTATGTGGCTAATCAATTTGTTAGCCATCACAGAATTTCCTACTTCAAGGGTCTTCTTGGGACACGTACTACTTAAAGGGCAAATATAAAAATATAGCCAACTTTTCTCCAGGATACATGAAATTCACAAATTACATAAATATTTTTGTGTCATTCACAAATATATAAATTTGTTAGAATGGCTATGCCTATTAAATTCTCACTTAAGGTTAGATTTTTATTGAAAAAGAAAGAAAGAAACCAGAGTATTTTTTCTTAAGGCTATTTCCTGTTAGTGAAACGGGTGGTTTTAACAGATCTACCAGCAACTCTACTACTGTCGGGGTCATTTATATCAGGCAACACGAACAGGACACAGGAAAAGCCAGAGTAATTTTAGCATGTCTGTCTTGTCTTTTGCCATATATCTTCATATGGCTGTAACACCATTCCTTGCATGGATCCTTGGTTTTGAAGTTAGTAAGACACCGTGGATTACCCAATTAAAGGATCGTCATCATCTTCCTGCAGCTGGAGGCGGGAGAACGGGCGGGAGGCAGATGCTCTGCTCTGCATGCAGATTATGAGGCCTGTGAGTATGGTTAACAGCAACAGTGCACTGATGACAATTCCGATGACCTCAGGGAGATTGATGCACCACTGGTCCACTAGCAAGCACTTGGCATGGCTGAACGTTCCATTATTGGGTTGTGGTTTTAGTCCCAGGATGTGGCACATCATTGGATAAATATCCACAGTGTTAATGGTGCTCTGCCTGTAGCCTCTTCTAAAAGCAGGGCCATGGGCAGCAAGAAATGGATGCATTGAAGGCAGGGAGTTGTCATAGCCATGGTCACCTACTGGAAAAAAGACACAACTATGTTACTAAACATCCATCTTTTATTACAAAATAACATGTTCACTCTAAATTTACTAGCTGCTTGCCAGTTTAGTTCCCATCCATTAAAATTCTGGCTGGCTGCACTACAGAAGACAGAAATAAAATGTGTATTTCCCCCATTTCATACGCACACACCTCTCTTCCCACTGGATCGTGGCTTTAGACTTCAATACTTCTTGAACTGATGTACTTATGTTTCAGCCCCAGCCACTCACTTTACTGACCCATCTCCAGGGCTAGTTGTAAAAAACTCACTATCAACAGCACAGGCAGCTTAAAGAAGTGCTCAAGGGCCGAGGGTCCTGTAGAGCTGAGAGAGTAGGGCAGACTGCTGAATGGGAAGATGGGACTCTAGACTTACCTATCCCAATTGTTCCAGAAAGAGATACCATGGCACAATGCATCACTGGTTTACTGCCAATTAATAAGCACCTCAAAAAGTCAGGAAGGTCAGATAAGTGAGGACTTTAGGAGAGAAAGCATTTGTGTACTGAATGTAAAAGAAATACAGACAACACTAGCTCCTAACTCCAGTAAATGTCTAGCCCAAAGAAAAACATGGCTAACCATCCCTGATAGGAACCCAAGCCCAGATTCTTCCTTTTCACTCTAACAACCTTGTCTGTGAGTGTGTATCCCTTGCATTTCGTGAATTTCCATTTTAGGGATATGGAAGTTTGTTGCAGTGTTGTGGGACTGGTATGACAAGTCTCCAATGATCCCAGCAATTAAAATTTTAATTCAAGTCTGTATCATGGAGGAAGTATTGGGAGGGGAAAGTCCCACAAATAACGTTTGCTTATATTTCCACACTGGTAGATTGTGATAGGTTTTTTCTCTGTTCTGTATTTTTCAAGTTTACAAAATAAGTATTTAAAACAACATAAATTTTACACAAACTCAGTCTGTCTTACCCTTACCTCATACTTCCAAATTCACATCCTATAGTCTGCAACCAAATTTGGTCCTTCACCTGCTTTTTTGTAAGCTAACTTTCACTACAACATACACCACTTCAATTAGTGTGCTATCTAGCCATAGCTGTTCTCATGCTAGAAAAACAGAGCTGAGTAGCTGAAACACAGACCAGCCGGCCAAAGCCAAAAATACTTATTATCCTGCCTTTCAAGGAAGTTTGATGGTCCCTGCAATGCACTCCAATATCAGAATCCTTAAAGTCTTAAAATTAAATACAAAACACAGGTGAATAATGCTCACTTGAGACAAGACTTGTAACTCACCCCTATACAGCCAATGTCTGAAGAGGAATTGTGATGTATCTACTTTGCTAACTTGGTTAACCGTTTCCTTTGAACTCTTGCCTGGTGATCTACAGAACCACAGCATACAAGGAAGTGATTTCATCATTTAGGAAAGTCTGAGGGTCACTCAGGTCAATTTTTTAAAAAAATGCACACAAGGGAAAGGAATGAGAAAGTGAAACTGCAGCTTTCCCATCAAGTTACACAGCCTCCCAGCAGAAGAGTGAATCTGTGGCCACTGTAAATGGCTATCAAAGGAAAATCCCATGAGAACTACCTTTGCAAAACTGAACAGTATAAACATAACTAAATCAAAGTACCTGCCCTCCAAAACAAGGTCACAATATATGATACAACCCTGAGACTACAGAAATACCAGAAATAAATACTTACACTTTAATGATGACTTATTTAGTGCAATTGTCCAGCCTTCATCAGCAACCAAAATAATAGGCTGAATTCGATCATTATGTCGATAGTAAAATCTGTTAGGAATATCTTCTTTGAGATAAACATTCATGTGATGGTTACAGTGTTTCAATTTGTCATAAACCTCTGTTATGTCTGTAAAAGGTATACAAAAGGGAAAACCATGGTTGACTTAGAAGCAAAGCTATGCCTGGCTAGCATAAATAGGAATACATTCTGGACAATATTAACCTGATTAGATTATTTTTAATTCTCAAAACAGAGGGTAATTATGTGACTGTGTTGGAGATGGGAACGCACACACAGGAAATCTCTCTCATTAGCCCATGCATCTCTTTTCATTATGTGGCCTGTGCTGGTTGACTTATAAAGGGGAAAGTTTTACACTGAGTTTCCTAAGCAAATATAAACTATGTATTACTACGGATTCCTAATTCATCACTGGAAGAAATGTCCATCTTACTTATTTGAAAGAACTACTTACTTGTTTTGGGAAGAATTGCAGCCACAGGGGTTAAGTCTATAATACTGTAGTTTGAACGGTCAATGCAGGAATCCAAATGTATCACTCTGTTTTCAGAACACTGGGTCATCCCATGGTCACTTGTAATGATCACATTAAGGTTTTCCCACATTCCTAACACCTTGAGCTTTTGTACAAGATCACCAATAAGGTCATCTATTTCTTTCAATACCCTGCTCATGTTTTCTTTGTCTTCAGGCCCATATGTGTGGCCACTTGCATCTGGTTCTTCCCAATACAGCGTTGCAAAGGTGACTGGTGGGTTGGAACTACTGAGCCATGTGGTAACATTATTTAGTCTCTCCTCAAAGGGCACCGAGCTGCTGTAATTCATAAAATAGGAAGGTGTAATGTTGTGAATGAGCACATCAGTACCAGGCCACATAGCAGCAGCACTTGATCTGTTTTCTTGAAGCTGATTGGTCACCCAAATAGGCACTGCCCCATTCCACCAAAATGAATCCTTATCATCAGATTCAGAAAAATGTTTCTTTGTGATATCATCATACATGGTGTTGGCCACAATGCCATGGCTTTCCTCATATAAGCCTGTCACGATGCTGTAGTGGTTTGGAAAAGTTTTTGTGATAAAAACGTTGGTAATATGTTCCACCAAGACACCTTCTTTGATAAAGTTCTGGAGATGAGGAAGGTCATAGTTCTTCAGGTAGTCAGCCCTAAAGCCATCAAAGGATACCAGAAGTAACTGAGGTGTCAAGCTATAGTTAGAGTTACCACTACAACCAGTGAGAAGTCCCAGAAATAAAAGTATTACTAATAACTTCATAACGAACACGTTGAACACAGCAGCCAGGGCTCCTAAAACATAAAAACACAATTCAGGAAGTAGCAACACTATTAAAGTTTCAGAAATTTAATCAGCATATGAGAAATACTGGCTTTACTGATGCTAATTTAGAACTTCAATTAAAAGATAACAATAAAGTTGACATATAGAAAAAAATGCCTTTACTTATTCAGTTTCCTATTGATACCTGTCCCACACATCATCAAGCTCTGGAGAGAAAACGGGGCTTGTAGACCCGATGAACATTTCTGCTTTTCTATTTTTCTCATCTAAAGGTTTATGAAATAATAGATGAAAACATAAAAATGATTCTTTTGTTCAAAATACAAATAATTCCAAGCTTTCGGAAGTTTTGTTAGTTTGCTTTAGTCCACATGCATAGCTGGTAGAAATTCTACCATATTGACTCATCACCAGTTTGTATTTAAGAAAAAATACTGCTATAAAGCATAGACAAAATAAATGCTACCCGAGGGGGGAAATCTCATTGGGCAGTTGCTCCAATTTTGACATGAAGTTGGCTAATAGACAAAGCTTATAAGGACTTGGAGGCCACAGTGACTTCAGAAGAAATTTAAGTTACTAAAAGGAATTTCACCTTTACACCACCCTTAAACTCCCATCTTTAGTCATGCTTTAGTCATGGCTATTTTTCCTAATATCCCAGGTTATTCTTAATTACTCTTTAAAAATGATCCGCTGGTTACTTGATTCTATAGAATTTTATAGCGTGTCTAAAGTTTTTCAAATACAGTTACATCTGGTAAAGAGATGAGGAGAAAACTCAATGAATGCTTCGAAGACAGCTGGGCAGCCACATGCCAAAGAATTAACATGGTGTTCCCGTATCCAGTTATACTGAAAAGCTGACTCAAAACCAATCACAGACCTACATGAAAGCTAACATTGTAAAGTTCTTAGAGGAAAATCTAGCAGTGACTCTTCATAGCCTTCGATTATGTCCAAAACTTAGATTCCAGGCCAAAAGCACAGGTCAAAGAGGTATTCACAAATGATGACCTCTTGTATGATTCCATTTAGAGGTGCTTAGAAGGTGCAATTCCACAGATGGCATGGATAGTTACTCAGCTTGTGAGAAAGTGCCAGTAAATGCCAATGGGAGGGAAGTTTCTTTTCTTTCTTTTCAGGGGTGGTGAAAAGTGTTTTCAAATTGACTGTGATGATGGTTCTAAGTTCACACAGCTGTACACTTACATGAGTGAAGTCAATGGTAGATATACATCAATAAAATTATTTTTTAACGTGAAACTGTATTCTTAAACGTCCCACCACAAAATAACAAACATCTTTATTATCTCATTTTACCTCAAAAGTGGTGTGAATTATGCATCTTCAAATGCAGATTTGGACAAAAATGATGAATATGTGTGATATAACATGTTAATTTAGCCATGCCATTGTGAACATACTGTATTCTGTATCATAATTGTGCATGACTTTATTTATGAGCTAAATAAATGGATGAAAAAATGCAGATTTGGGTGTTTTTAACATGAGAATATTTTTCGATTTTTCCTATAGGCAAAGCAATACCACATAACAAAACCTGGGGTTTGCCCTTCTCCCACAAAATACAAACGAAAAATCTTTCTTCCCCCAAATCCTGAATTAAAAGGATATTCAAAACACACATGCTGTTATGAAACCCAGGCTTAGGCAAACTCAGTATGCCAGTCAACTCTCACTGAGTTACCGACCACACTAAAGCATTACAGGCTTCGGCTGGAAAGGGCAAGGAAAAGGCCACTTTGCAGCATTAGCATTCCATCTGCTCTGTGGTGCAATGAAATGTAAACTTGGCTTTAAAATAGCGTCATCCATTATCACCTATGTGGACCGTAACATAGCAGGTGGTTTACCCATAAATGTTTATTAAGTGCTTCACAATCTAAGGGAAGAAACGCAACTCCATGAGAGCTTTCTAAGTCCCACAAGAGTCTACGATTCTAAATGGTTCTCCGGTATTCTAGGCCACTTAAGATTTTTCTAGCATCTTCCCGTCAGTCCATCAATGTTGCTGTGTATAAACTGTCCCTCTTGAGGCACTCACTGTAGATTCAACAAGATTCCTTCCCAATTATAGTGTGCAAAGCTGACTTTAAAATTAGTTGATGGGAAGGGGGGAACTCGAAAGCTTCGAGTTCCCTTAAAATTACGAAATCTCTGGGGAAACGGGAAGAAAGAAAACCATACCTCGGCGTTCCTGCAGCAGACCGCCCCCACCGGAGTCCCATCAAATGCGCACGGGAATTTTCCGGTCACGAGCTGGACAGCCCTCAAGGCTCAGGCTGGGACCAACCAGCTCGGGACGGGTTGTTTGTGCAGCAGCATCCGGCATCTCCCTCCGCTCGCTAAGTTTTTTTTTTTGGACGAAAACGTCACCTTGACCGCACGACAGCACTAAGCCCAGGGCGAGCACCCAGGCAGTCACCGGGCCAGCACGTCTGGCCCGTATGCCCACCCTCACCCCAGGCCACAGATCCCATTCACCAGCTGGGGTGTCCGCTCCACCTTTCCTCCGCCCCGGGCACCTCCCGCGCGTCCCCGCCAGGCGACAGGAGCCTCGCGAGGAGAAGAAGGGACCAGAAGCTCTCACTGTCACTACCCTCCGCCCTCGGCGAGCTGAGAAGGGAGTGGCATTTCCCTTCCAGTCTCACCCTCCACCGCAGCCACCTCGGTCCG